AACTGCCAGTGAGTACTTGACCAAATACATGAAGTGGACTCACCACTCAAAGGACCATCTTCAATATACTGCAAGCTCCTTAGCAACAGGATGTATCAGATCTCAGAGGTGGTCATGATGTTGGGCAATCTGGACGAGTTGTCCAGTGCCAAAGATGGAGGCGAGAATTGTGGCCAATGCATCCCGGTAGCAGTAGGATTGCTGACAGCCATTCGACATGTAGCCCCTCCGTTCAGCCTTAGAAAGCGCCAGATGACCACTAGATCGCGACCTAATCTCGGTGTTTCCCCCCCCCCCCCTTTCTCCACCTGCCCCAGCCCTGAAAACACCTTGTCCTAGCCTCTGCTTTCATTCTTTCACTGGCTTATGTAGGCTGTTATTGTTGCGTAGCCACGCGGGATCTGTTAAGACCCGTCACTCCTATAACACGGGTTGAACTTCACGCTGCTACCGTAACCAAAAAAAAACAAATGAAGGTGAAAATGGCACCGAGAGAAGCTATCTGTACCGTACAGCGCAGAGCGAGTTGTAGTAGGAGATAACGCTGTCTGATAAAATAGTTAGAACATACACTTCTGAGTTGGAACAATCTTGTCCGCTGTGGGTGTTGGGGCGTGTCAGTGTAGCTGGGTTTGGCGCACCGCCAGCCCCTTCTCTATTAGTTGTTTTAGCAGGTATGCCGCAAGAATTGGTGTAGAATGATAGATAGAAACGGTATGATAGCGACGAACAAGAGTGTACAATCAAACACGGAGATCACGAGATCCTCACCCCTTCTCGTCCGCTCGGGTGTCTTTTGGTCCCACTGACATATATCGAGGATAACACTTATGCGTTCCAGGTCAGGCCTAATGCGGAAAGATGTCGTAACGGCGTTCCCGGAGTTTAACACCGGAGAAACCAATGCGGAATTCAACAGTGCGATGAAGAGAAGGAGAGAGGCATGTCGACAGCTAGCGGAGGCCAGCCTCCTTCTATACATATTCAAAAGGTTTGAATAATAACTTGATAGTATTGATCTGGATCGGAAATTCTGTTTTGGGTGTTTGGGGATACTGAAGATTTCGGAAGGACCTGCAGTTTGCTTTTCTATATTTTAAGTCGCCTTCCAGTCTTCTTTCTCATTTTCTGCTTACCGTGGGATGGCAGCAAGTGCCAGTTCATCCAATTTGACAGTCCATTTTCTTTCGACGATTGCCGTAGTCCATGACTGACTGTCAGTGTCAGTCATGGACTACGGCACTCAGTCAGTCGCTGGGTTTTGGCGCACCGCGCGTCGTAGTCGCGTGCGCGATGGAACGACACTATTGTGAAGTATTAGGTTGTGTTATTAGGTTGTCCGGAAAGTTCTCAGCGTTTTGTGTTACTATTTTTTGTACATTCATTGCTGATTAAAAACTCATTCTCCCTTGCGTCTCAGTAGTACATCCTGAGAGAATTTCTTGCGCTATCTGATGGTATAATTGCCGTTTCACCATTGCTTGATAAACCCCCTTTTTTCAAGATTTTTTTTTTCAAGCAGAAAAAGAGCAACTTCGGACGATATTGCTCTTCAACTGCAAATTGGGTCAATCCGCAGTCGAGACAGCTCGACAAATTAACCAGGTGTGGGGCCCAATAGTGTTGGAGAAAGCACCGTGCGACAATGGTTCGACAAATTTCGTTCTGGAGATTTCAGCCTTGAAGATGAACCTCGTAGCGGTCGACCTAAAGCAATACCTGACGAAGATTTGAAGGCATTTGTGGAGGTTGACCCATCCCAAACAGTTCGAGAGATTGCAGAAAAGCTATTGGCATTGGTGGTCTGAAACGCATTGGGAAGGTGAAAAAACTCGACAAGTGGGTGCCCCACAATTTGAGTGACCGGCAGAAATTGGCACGTCTCGAGGTCTTCTTCACTGCTTTTGCACAACAGAAACGACCCGCTTTTGGACCGAATTGTCACGTGTGATGAAAAGGAGATCATGTATGATAACAGGAGACGTTTCGGACAGTGGTTGGATGCCGGCGGACCCCTGAGGCAATTTCCAAAGCCGAATCCTCACGACAAAAAGGTTATGGTCACAGTGTGGTGGTCATCGGCTGGTGTGATCCACTATAACTTTTTGTTACCAGGCCAAACCATCACAGCAGAGTCCTACTGTGAAGAAATCGACGAAATGTACCGAAAATTGCGTCAGCTGCAGCCAGCACTTGTCAACAGAAAGGGTCCGATTCTTTTGCATGACAACGCCCGCCCACACGTTTCACAAATCACTATCCATAAATTGAACGAATTGGGGGTTGAAGTTCTACCTCACCCGCCATATTCTCCAGACCTTTCACCAACCGACTATCACCTTTTCAAACATTTTCAGAACTTCCTTGCTGGAAAATACTTCATCAATTAGGACCAGGCAAAAAAGCCTTCGTGGATTTCGTAGATTCTCGACCACCCAGTTTTTTTTCCTTTGATGGGATTTCTCGACTGGTGTCACATTGGCAAAAGTGTGCTGATTCGAACGGTGCTTATTTCGATTGAATCCGATGAGTATTAAGAAAGTTAATCGTTTAAAGTGAAACACTCAAAACGCTGAGAACTTTCCGGACAACCTAATATAAATGCGCTCACCTATCAAAGAACTTCAGGGATCTCGCCAGTTATCAAGTATTGGCGAAATACAAAATCATTCCCGACGCCTTTCGAAGTGAACTTCAGTCGTGGCAAGCAACGCATTGCGATTCATCGGGAAAGAAGCTTGATGTGCGTGTTTGGATTTCCGTCGCTATTTTTTCGTTGTCTTTTTTTGGCCAATAAGTTTTCAAGATGAATAATCGACTTGCAGAATGACGAGACCTTGGCATGTTGGCTTCTGGAAAGAGCATATACAACGGAAAGTTGTGCGAGAAACATGCCTGAAGAAGCTGCTGATGAGACAGAAGAAGAAGACGACGACGACGAAGACACCGAAAGTGATACTCTAGTGGGTTTTGGCCTTGGATCTTAGAAGTTCAAAAATCAGTCCTTCAGTGGATTGCGCCATGCATTGTAGTTCCATTCGAAATTCGTAGTAGTATTTCGAATTAGCCTATACAACATCCTTCGAACAATTCCAGTACAAGTGGCTGACCCTGGATGGTAGAAGCTTCGGTTAGCCTAAACGGCAAGCTGAACCGGGATTTGATCACACCGAACCGTTCGCTGAAGCATGCCACTTGCAACTACACCATCTCTGTCCGTTCTGTAACTTGACAATTTTTTTTGTATTTTTTAAGCTTCATTTCTGCTTCTTTTTCTTCCAAAATTTACGTTTACTGTTGAGGATAGAGGTGATGTAGCGCCAACAGGCGTTACCGCTTTAGGCGCATGGGTCGAATCCGTGATCAATTTTGCCCAGATCAAACATGCTTTTTCATTTTACGTTGTGGGCTGTCTGGTACCTGAGTAGGTCCTCAAGGGCAGGGGACTAAAATTTACGTTTATTTGGTCCACACAAGTAACCATCTACCAGGTGAAATCGCTTTCAAATGCAGTTTATACTTTGAATGAACATTGATTGCATGGCGCGTCCTATAAAAGACATGAACAGCTGAGACATGAGCAGCTATCACAAGAATGCTGAGTTATGGGCAAAAGTCCAACCCCAGGCGGGA